TTTGATGGTGATTTACTAATAATGTCGTATAGTTCATCTGTATTAGTGGTCCTGGAAGCGTGAAAAGTGGAGGTGGATGTAGTTTCTATATGCGGCAGAATATTGACTTTTCCAATTGAGTATAGTTTGTCACGGATATCTTTGATCTTATTGATGAAAATGTTGCTAAATTCATTGCCAAGTGTTTGATCACACTTATGTGATGGTAGCTGTTTCTGACTTAAGTTCCCAGACAGGTTTGAACTGATGCGAAATAAGAATTGTTGATCATGAACATGGTTCTCGATCAGGTTGGTGTAGTAATTGATTTCAGTAGTGTACCATTTACTGTCTGGGCGTAGAGTGATGACCCGCTTTTTAACAATGGGCGTGATCATCAAGAATGTCCAGGATAGTTGTATTGAATTGTAAGATGGCAGCCTGTGGATCGGATGAAGGCAGGATGATCTCAGGAGATACTTTCAGGTTGTTCTGGAAATCATCGAGTGAAATTGATTTAATACATCAATAAGTTATTCGCTTTTTGGAGAGTGGTGGATTACGATACACAAGTGTGGCATTAGTAGGGTTATGATCAGACAGTTAGATCAGATGATGGCGACACCCCCACCAGCCGATCGTGCACGTGGTGTTTGCTTGAAAGAATATCCAATTGGTGTGCATTCTGTAATAATATGCTCATCTCCGGTGTCTTTGAGCAAGGTTTCTGTGAGTGCAATTACGTCAATGTTTTTTTAAGTAATATAATCTTCTACATCTGATGCTTTGTTACGAATGGAGCGAATATTGGTTGGGAGAAGAAGTTGGAGTTGACGCTGAATGGTGTTCTGGGTACCGTCATTTGTTGTATTTATTAGTGGAATGTAGATGAGATTGTCAAAGTTGGTACGATTTGCATTACAACAAAACGAAGCTTGTTTGCAGGTGGGCTGTATTGTTTTGATGTAGTTTACTTTATGTGTTGGTCCTGTATATGTGAGCCCTTTCCTGTGCCTCTGTGTGTAGCACAACGTGCCCGGATACTCAGTAATTTTACGGTATCATAAACGGAGGTTGGTAGTCTTGAAATGCATGTGTTGAAAAACTTTAGAGTGAAGGTGCTGTAATGCATTGTAGTATTGAATGGACAGTCAGCATATGAATAGGGAGGTGATCAGTGGCACCAGTTATATAACTTAGTAGGGCTTAGTCTTTTCCACGAAACGAAACGAAACGAAACCCAAACCCAAACCCTAACCCTAACCCTAACTCGCATTTTTTTTTTCATTGGCCCAATAATATCTGAGAAAATTTCACACTGTGAAATACGGACGTGACGATGTTTGAGGTCGTTCAAAATCTAAGGTTAGGGTTAGGGTTAGGGTTTCGTTTCGTTTCGTTTCGTTTTATTTTGTTTCATTTCGTTTCGTGGAAAAGACTAAGCCACTTAGTAGAGACAATGAAACACGCATAAATTATGTCACAGTGTCAGTTCAGTTGTAACACAGACCAGGTTACAACCTGATAATTTGATAATTATGAAAACGGGAATCGACGATATGAGTAACACACTTCACAAGTAAGGTCCTTGACAGTACATTGGTGTGTGTATGTTTCCAAATACAGGCAATAGCAACATTAACAGGGTAAACTCAGTAGTTTTATAGGAAAGAAGTATGGAGGCTGACACTAGGCGCACATCCATTCACAGGGACTTCAGGGATATAACTTAAATACATATGTCTATCATAGTGTGTCGTTTTAAACATGTTTAGTTTACGATAAATCATGATCATATTTCGTTGGTAATGCACCTTTAAAAGACTTTCAAAACAAATAAGATAAAAATAAAAAAAAATTATATTGGTCTCTAGTAATCCTATATACTTGAAAGATTTGTCTGAACATTTTGGGAAAATATTAACAAATGAATATAGATTTACATTTAGGTGAAACATTTTTGTCCCCAAACCTATAAAATGTTCATATTTAGGTTTACTTTCTGTTTAATGAACTTTCCTAAAGTATACATAAATCTAGGACATAAATTGTGCTCCTACCTATACCAGAAAATCTTTAGTTATGTCTATGTGCCTTCTCTATCAAATCTACAGAAAGTTTATAATTTTAATATACCAGTATATTGATTACAATAACCACATTTTTTTATTTTTTTTTTGATCCGCTTCAATCCATAATGGCCTAATTCCCCATCATACACTACATGTCATTTATTGTTTGTGACAGGGAGTTTGGACCTTGTGATGAAACGGGTGTTTTTTTACGTAATTGTTTGCATCGAGTAGGCCAAGTAGGGTATTTTGCTGTTTTAATATGTTTTTAGCAGCAGAAATATAACACAATGCTACTGTTACTGTATATTCTTAAGGACTAGTAACACTGAATTAATTGGCAGGCTTAATGATGACCACATAAGAATACATTTTTCCAAGTCCAGAGACGATTATGATGGTATATTGTATTGTATTGTATTGTGATTTTTGATTTACGGGTATGTAAAACGAAATTACATTAACGGATGTAACTGATAACTTTTCCAATGAAATCCTTAGCACCCCGTTGGCAGGCCAGTCACACTGGTTCTCACCACAAGAGGTTACGATCCCCCTTGCCAAATACTAAGAACAACTGAAACTAATATCTACATATTTACATGAAAAATTGTCCACCTGTGCGGATCTGTTTGTGCAGGAGTTTTACGACCGTATGCCCTTACTGACGTCAACCGAACTTGTTATGTGGGAAGTTGGCACCCAAAGCTCACAGGTGCTACACCTTGCCCAAGGGTGACCTGGAGGTAGTTGTGGCAAAGGGTAACCTCATTCTCCACGTCCATAGACTCCACAACCGGATGTAGTT